CCAGCATCTTCTTTGAGATTCTTCAAATAATCTAGAAAAGAAAAAAATTATAGTATTTAAGCACAATAAAGCAATGAGCCTAAAACACTTATCTTTTTCGATACTTGTCAGTCTTGCTGGTTAATACATATGTTAGTTGTGCTAATTTTCTAAAAATGTAAAAGAATAAAGCTCTGAGACCAATTTGAAATCAGGATGTAGAATCAGAGCTGGAAAGTACCTCAGAGATAACACTGGTTATTTTAGAGATGAGGAATCAGATTACTGAGCAAAGAGTCTCGCCCAAGTCAAACAACCTCTTTATGGCAGAGCCAACATGAGAACCCAGGTATCCTGATGCCTAGTTCAGCTCCTTCACCTCAAAACACAGGAATTACCTTAATCTTGAGATCCAATGTATGTGTAGTATAAATTTCTAGACATTAAAAAATTCAATGCCTAGAGGGGGGAGGAGGGGATGGGTATATGCATACATAACGAGTGTGATGCGCACCATCTGGGGGATGGACACGCTTGTAGCTTTGACTTGGGGGGGGAGGGGGGGCAAGGGCAAAATACGTAACCTAAACATCTGTACCCCCATAATATGCTGAAATAAAATAAAATAAAGTATACAATTCAGCGTTTTTTTAAAAAAAAAAAAATTCAATGCCTAAAGGACTCCTGCATTTGTCAATCTAAGAGTCTAATAATGCCCAGGACACCAAGGGAACTCAATACACCTATCTAGATAAGTGGTTTCAAATAGGGACGAATTTGCCTACATTTGGCAATGTCTGGAGACAGTTGTGGTTATCACAATGCAGTATCACCCTATAATACAGCCCCTCAACAAAGAATTATCTGACCTAAAATGTCAATAGGACTGAGGCTGAGAAACTCTGGTCTAGATGAAGATGGTCTATAAATAAGCAATGTACTATATGGTAGTTCTTATAAAACAGAAAAAACCTGAGACAATAGGTTTTATTTAACGAACCTTTAACACCAAGAAACGTCATGGGATTTCAAGGCAACACTTCCTTCTTTGCTGAGAAATGTTGGGTGGCTTCCCATTGCCTATCGAATTAATACAAATTCCTTTCCCTAGAATTTAAAGTCCCCCACTAGATTCTCTCTATTGACTTTTCTGACTTTCTCTCTTGCTACCACCTAACACAGGCCCTATGTGCTTACCTGAATTTGACTCTGCTCAATTCCTTAAACACTTCCCATGTGGTTCCCTGGCTCCATACCTTTTTGTCTCTAATGCTCCCTTCTGAATCCTTTTCTCTGTCTCTGCATATACAAATTCTACTCCCATTCTTCTAGGTTCATCTCAAATTCCTCCTCTCCTACAAAACGTTCCTTTTGAAAGAATCATTTTTTCCCTTTGAATATGGCAGTCTCACTTCATGCCTTCTATCACTTTCTTTTTCATTAGACTCAAAGCTCCTTGTGGGCAGGACATCTGATTCATTTTTCCCCTCGCACAGTACTTACCAAGGGGCTTTGCACACAGGGGACAATAAATTCTTAATGAATAAAAAGAATACATTATTTTGCTAGACAGGATTGTATTTTAGTTAAGCTAAAAGGCAATAAAGGCTGAAAGGCCAGTGGGAATGGAGAAAATAGAAGGAGGAAAGGTGTATTCAGAGACTGAATGCATTTTTATCAGACCCAGTCTCTAGTTGGGAATATCATGGAACAGATATACATTCATCTCATGGATGAATGAAGTCATGCTCAAAGGTACAAAGGGAAACTTGCATGTCAGTGCCAGCTTTTCAAACATAACAGATGACACAAACAGGCCCAATTGCTGAAACTTCACGTCTTTGAGACAGTGATCCAAGAGCCTGTGTGAGTCTAGACATGCATATTATAAATATCCAGCAGTGGCAATAAGCCACGGTGAGCTGTGTATGGCCACATAAAGCTTTCCTGTGCCACGGCACAGGTTCTATTTTGTGAGAGATTATCACCAGCAATTCAGACCTTAAATAATCTGAACTTACAGGTTGGACAGCTTGCTTCTGATAAAACATATATGAAAACCACAACAATTAAACAAAATACACTGATTATACATTATACCTAGCCTCACTCAGAGATGGAAAATAAACTTACTCTCACACTGACTGCACTCCAAATGCACTCGATATATAAGCCACGTTTGGTGAGTGCAAATATCCAACATTTCTAAGGCTGACAGTGACAGGGTTGCGGAGACAAACTTACCCTTCTCATTAGATGTTCTCAATGCCTAAGCTGCCTCGTTAACTAAAAGTGATTTCTCTTAATCCTTTAGTTAGCTGAAGAGTATGGAAAGGAAAGCAGATGTGCCTAAATATTAGATTCATGTCCAGTTCCTATTTTGTCTCAAATTCCTCTTCTTTAATATAGGAGCACATCCATGAAAACTGAGACACTTTTCAACCGAAAAGAGCTCACTGGAAGATGTCCGTATTAGGAAATCCTGACCTCAGAATCACTGTGCTGTGCCTGATAAGTTTCTGAGTTGCATTTCTTTGCTTGTACTCAAGCTTGGCCGCTGGCCTGCCAACCTAAACCTTTAGGAACATAGTTTAAATACACTCTGAGCAGAAAACCCACCACTAACATGTTGCAGCATCAACATCATGCTATTAATTTAGGAAGTGACAGAGTTAGGTTTACCCTCCTTGACATATTTTTAAAAACATCTTAATGACCTCCAAAATTCAACTCTCCAACTTATCTATCCATCCATCCATGTTTTCAGGACATCTTGTTGCAGTATATCTTTTTGAGAACTTGTACCTTTTCAAAGAAGACAGGATCCTTAAACAGTTAAGAATCACCCAGTGCCTTAACTGCAGCATGAGAACATGATCACTCTCTGAGTCAGGCAGGAGGAACACTGAAACCACTAACTGCACCAGTGACTGTTATGACCAAGGTGAAACCCAGGAAAGGAGACCAGACAGACAAGCCTATGTTGGTTATAAGGAACTATTTATTACCTATTATTTAGGACCTAGTATTCTGCAGAAGCTTGCAA